GGCCTGACACGGTGCTACTGCAGGGAAGCAGGGGGACAGCTCTCACACAGGAGAGATTCAGGAGCTTAAAGAGGGGTGAAAAGCAGCCTCTTTAACTCTCCCTCTCTAGGGCAGGGCAAAATGCCCAATCCCCAGCCCTGCGCTGTGGGTTCCAGGGCAAGGCAGGAGGTGTGGGCTGTGATAAAGGAAGCCGGTCACGTCCAGGAACAAATCCAGCACATGGTGCCAGGGAAGCGCTTTTATTTCTCAGCCAGCAAAGCTCAGTGGGGCCCAGCTGAAAGTCGCTGGAGCAGATGAGTCAGGGCAGGGAGGCAGCACAGTGGGGCTGGTGGTCCCGGTGGCGGCAGGGTGAGGACAGCATTGTTCCTGTGTCACTGCAGGGCCAGTCTCTAGCCCTGGTGCTCCTCCTCAGGGTACAGCAGCCCTGCTGCCTCTGCTGTGCCTCCTCGGCAGTGGTCCGGCAGCCTTTTCCCCATCCAGAGGTAACCGGCCCTGCTCAGGGCTGGCCATACCCCAGGGTCATGGCCCCCAGCTCTCTGCTCTCACTTCACTGCCCTGGGGGTGCATCGCCCCCTTCCCTGGCTGCTATGGGGCAGGGCAGTACTTCTGCCCCTCCATCCAGCTCCTCCTCCGCCCCTGAGTGCCCAGCCTGGAGCACTGCCCTGGGGGTGAAGCTGTCTGAGGGGATGTTGCCTTCCTCAGCATTTCCTCGGCAGCTGCCTGCTTGCTGCTCCCTGCAGCCCTCGTCTCCCAGCACCTCTCCAGGTGTTTCATCCCGCAGCTCTGGGGGCCCCTTGGCTGGCTCCAGCCCCTTGCTGGGGGACCCTGGCTCTGGAGCTTCTCCTGGCTCAGCCCTGGCCATGGTCTCTGTGCCAGCTCCCTCTGCCCCACTGGACCCCTGCTCCAGCCCCTGCCTGATCCCTGCTGCCCCACATTGCCCTACACCCAGCTTTTCCATCTCTGCTGCTGGACTCTCTTCCCCTTCATCCTCCTCCAATTTCTCTTCCTCTACCTTTTCCTCCTCCTCCTCCTTTTTTTCCTCCTCCACTTTCTCCCCCTCTTCTTCCTCTTTCTCATCTTCCTCCTCTGCCCCTGTCTCTGCTCCCCAGCTCTCTGGCTGTGCCCCACAGGCACCCAGGTTTGCTTCTTCCCCTGGTCCTGTCCTGTCCCTTGCTTCCACCTCCACCCCTGCAAACTGCCCCTTGGCTGCTTCTCCTCCCGGCACTGCCCCTTCACACCCAGCCCTGGGGGTCCTTTGCTCTACCTGATGAGCCCCTGGTTGTTCTGCTGCTTTGGTCCCTGCACCCCGCTCCCCCTGCCCAGGCGTCTCCGGGACCTCAACCTCACCCTGGGGTGCCTCTTCCCGCAGCATCACCCCATTGCACACCTCCCTGCCCTCCTGCCCCTCGCTGGCCCCCGGCCCCCGGGGTGGCTGGAAGAGCCCCTGGTAGCGCTTCCGATCCTCTACGTGCTTCTTCCTCATCCTCTCCCCGAGTTGCTTCAGCTCCTTCTTTACGGCGGCTGCCATGGAGGGGTCAAGGTGAGCCACGCGCAGGAAGTCCTCCCGCGCCTCCCGCTCATTCCAGACAGCGGCGTGGGCCTTCGCCCGCTTGAAATAGGCCTTGGCGTTGTCTGCCGGGAGAGGAGAGCCCCTGGCAGGGGTCCTGCAGCTCAGGGCCACCAGCCACAGGAGCTGGAGACCCTGGGAACCCAGGGGACACGGAGCACAGGTACCATCGTAGGCAGAGGAACATGGGGTGGACACACTTGTAGGTGGGGGTACCCTCATGGGTGGGGGACCTGGGCTATGCACATACCACTGTGGGCACCAGGGGACATGGGATGCAGGGATCATCATGGGCAAGGGGAACCATAGTGGGCAGGGGGATCTGGATGATGTGGGAAAACCGTCATGAGCAAGGGGACCTAGAGGACACGGAGTGCAGGTGCTATCGTGGGCAGGGGAAACCAAGGACATGGGCACGGGCAGGGGGACTTGGGACACAGGTTCTACAGTGGACATAGGGATGCCGATGCTATAGGTACCATCACAGGCAGAGGGACACGAGATGAGCATGTAATGGATGGGGGATCCAGAGGACAGTGTCCCTGGGGGCTGTGGGCACAGCAAGCGGGGTTGGGATGCAGGGCATGGGTACCGTTGTGTTTCTGGACAAGCTCCGTCGTGTGCTCCAGCACCTCGTAGTACTCGCCCAGCTCCAGCTGGCACTGGCAGTAGTTGAGCACCAGTGGCGTGACCAGGTTCTCCAGCTTCAGCCAGCCATCCCCCCCCGGCTTCTCCTGCCCCGGGGAGCCACAGTGGGTGGTTCACAGCTGTGGCTATCCCCTCCTGGGCGCCCAGCACCCACATGGGAGCACTTTGCTGAGGAAACCCAGGCAGGGCTGACAGGATGTGGCCGAGTCCTGCTCACCTTGGCCTGGAGGTTCCTTAGGCAGATGACAGCCTCCTGGTACTTCGCCGCTGCCTGCCCAAACTCCTTGCGGAGGACGAGGCGGTTGCCCTCGCTGTGCAGCACAGGCACCGCCGCCAGCTTCTCCTCCTTGCTCATGGCCCAGGTGTCACGCTTGTATGCCGAGGGCTCCTCCACCTGCACAGGCACCAGGAGCTGAGCTGCCTGCCCTGGCTGTCCCCACACTGGCAGCCATCCCCACCATCCCCCTTACCCGGAACAACTCCATGATGAAGATGAGGGGCTGTGGTGTCCGCTGCAGCTCATCTAGGTCATCATAGCCTGTGCTGTGGTAGTCAAACATGTTGCCCATGCCACAGCGGTGCTTCTGCCCTTCCAGGGGGTCTTGGCCCTCTGCGATCCTCCGCATACCCCTGGAGACCAGGGCATACAGGCCTGTGTGCTGCAAGGGGAGCACCGCACTCAGCTGCACGGGGCCAGCCTGCACCCCCTTCCTCCGGGGCAACCCTCCTGATGCTGTGGCTAAGTGACACCTGTGCCCCTTCTGCTTGCACCAGGCAAGGCTGGAGCATCTCTGGGGTGCATGTGCCCCGGCTCTGCAGAAAGGAGGGGAGTGGGCACGTGTGGGCCCCTAACTCACAATGGTGTCACACCAGAACTCGGCCACCTCCCCAGTTCTCATGGAGCTGAGCAGTGTCTCCCAGATCTCGAGCTTGAACATCTTGCCCACAATGATCTCCATGGGGATGCCAGCTTCCCGGCTGTCGTCGATCACTGTCCGCTCAAAGTCATCCTTCAGCGTCTGGAAGTGGAAGGTGATCTGCCCCAGAGAAAACTCAGTGCTGAGCCGGGGCAAGCACTGCAGTGAGAGCTCTCCATTCCCTCGCCAGCCCCAAATCCCTCTGCCATGGGGCCAGGATGCAGGGCCTAGCCCGCTCCCAGTGAGGTGCTGGTTTGATTGGCAGCTCTCCATCCGCAGCAGGAGGTTGTGCCTCCTATCCACTTGTCTTAAGACAGCAGATGGAGTGTCTTAAAGCCCATCAGTGCTGTATCTTGCTGCTCTCTTTGGATCCCCCTTTACAACCCAGTACGGCGTGTGCTCCCACATCAGCCACCAGGACCTGGCAGAATCCACACTGATCTGCCCATACCCAAAGGCTGGGGAATCTAAGAAACCCCCAAGAGCTCCCTGTTGGCACCCCTCACTCCTGTTTGACACATATCAGGAAAGGCAGATTTCCAGCAAGCCATGGTGGCTGCTCAGCTCCAACAGCCCCAGGACTGAGGAAGGAGGTGGGTAACAGCACCAATACAAGATGAAGGCAGTGGGCAATGTGGCTGCCTGTGCCCAAAACAGCCCTTGCAAGGGATCTCCTGGAGATGGGACCTCCCCATACCACAGACCTGGAGCTCGGCTTGTGAGCAGGGAATCTAACCGTAATGGGCAGGGATGGTAGTCAGACCCACTCCTTTCTCCTAGGGCTTCAGGGTAACAACCAAGATGACTCACCTTGCTCCCATCCTGCAACTTCGGCAGCTCTCCTTGGCCTCCGTGCAGAATCTTCTTTTTGACTCCTTCCACATTCAGCAGGTAGGTTTCCTCCATGGCCACTCCTGCCAGTCCCCAGGAGCTCTGGGTGTGCTCTGGCCCTTCCCAAGCTCTGTCGTCCCCGGGGTATCTCCCTGTGTTTACTGTCCGGACACACCCATCATCCCCCAAGGCTGCTGCTGGCCTTTCACTTTCCGTGCTGGGGGCAGAGCTTGGAAGCCTTCTCCTCTTCCCCTGCCCTTCGGGTTGTGAGCGGGGCGTCCCACCGTGGCACACCCTCACTGAAGCCCACTGTGCCCTCCGTTGCGTTCTGGAACCGCCTTTCTAATCCTTTTCCTATCCTGCCAGGTTAATCTGGGATTTGCCTGCCTAGTCTGTGAGGGATTAAAGAAACTCCCTGATCAGGAGGGCCTCATCCCTCCCACAGAGTGACAGCTTGCGGGGGTCCCCTTTGTACGCAGTCTCCCTTTGACCTAGCCACACAAAGAGCATTTTAGCAAAAGAGCCCGGCAATGCTGATGCAAGCACCAGCCAGGGGCTGCGTGTGGTCCAGGCACAAGCTGGCAAAAGGCAGTGCTGGTCTGTGCTCTGGCCATCACAGAGGAACAGACCAGGGCTGGAAACGGTACTTTATTGAGTCTGGTTTGCAGACACAAGCATTTCTCAAACATAAGAACAAGCTTCTATCAGACAACAGCTCATCCAGTCCAGGACGCAGTAAGATGCAGAAAGCTGCACCACACTGTTCCAGGGAGAACTAAACGCCCCTGGGAGAATGGTGCTGCATATCTACAGTAAATCCAGTGTTTTGGCTGCTCTCACAGGCATAGTCCAATTCTTTAGCTCCACCAGCCAAACCCAGCACAATGTGTGTGAGAGCAGCTCTGGGCACAGAGCCTCTAGCACTGCCCAGCAGCATATCTGGCAGCAGAGGTGTGTGACTAGAGCAACGACTTCAGCATGGCAGATGAACAACACTTCCAGCTCTGCTCACAGGTACAAAGACCCAGGCCCACTCCTCACTTCTCCATGAGGGACTCCAGCTGCTCCTGCAGGGATGTCATCTGGGAAGAAGGAGTGAGGCATTACAGTAAGGCATGGCTGGGACTCCTGGCAGCTTCAGCCCAAGCACTTCTGCCTTTCTGCAGATCTTCCACCTAGGCCAGTACACCGCAGGAAGCCGTGCCTGGGCACCTCTGGGGCAGAACTCAGCACTGGCCACAAGGTGGGAGTGGGAACCTCCTGCCTTGGTACCTGGCTGAAACTCAGCAGAGCTGCCCAGGCAGGAAATCTGCCAAGACCATACAGCTACTGCCTTTCTTGTACATGGGTACCAGCGGGTTTCTGCGTCATGTTTTTCCCCAGGCAGCAATCCTAGCAGCCTTGGACTGCTAAGTGGACATGTTTTGCTTCACTGCTTCTCCAGAAGGAAGGCTGCAATCAACGCCCTTTCCTATACCTCCTTGTGCCTTAGGAAGCTCCATGCAACTACAGATGAGGTACAACCACACCTGACCTGTAACACCAGAGTTCAAAGCAGCTGGTGTGGCAGAAGATTCAGAAAACTTTGTCACGGGCCAAGCCTAGAACTGTGTCACACCCCAGTCCTTCCCACTCCACTGTGTGAGTTTCCTCACCTGCTGCTTCTCTCGCTCTTCTTGCTGCTTGAACTCATCCAGCACAGCCTGGAGACGGGTCTGCAGAGACAAAAAAGCCAGACCACAGTTACCAACGTGTTCTCAACTGAACAGGTGCTGGCACGACATGTCAAATGGTGCAGCAAGCCCCAAGCTGCCCTGACAACCAGATCCCTTATCTCCTGCAGTGTCATGGATTGCTTTGCCTTCATGGGGAAATGCTGGAGTATGTGTGGTGACACCACAAATATTTTTAGCCCAGCAGGCAAAGGCCCCTGGCTTTTCCAGGGCAACAGCTGAATCAGTCCGCTGGATCTACTGGCAAGCCAATGCTAAGCAGAAGACTTTAAGAGACCCCAGGAGATCCCTCACCTTAAGGGCTAGGTTCTCCACTTTCATGATGAGATCTTCCTGGCGCTTCCTCCTGTCCTGTGTCTCCTGGAGTTTACTTTTCAGGTTGTCAATCTGTTTCTGGATCCCCATGACTGGAAGAGAGATTGAGCTCAGGCCCAGAGCAGCAGCAGAGCTTGGCAGCACAGCCTGCCTAGCTCCCCAGTGATCCTGCTGTGCTCAGACGCTCACTCACCGATCTGGTTGGACCCCTCGTTCTCGTGTTGCTGCCCATCAGACTCATTCAGCTTGTCCTGCAGCTGCCTCTCCAAGTCCTCCTCAGTGTCCATGATGTTCAGGTCTTCGTCATCATGATGATCCCTCTCATCTTCATCTTCGCTGCTGCTGCTGATGTCATTAAATATCTCCCGCAGTTCATCATGTTCTAGGGGGATGCAAAAGGGAAGAGGAAAAACACAGCTGATGACCTCCCAGCACCCTTTGCTTGCCAGGGACCACATCAGTACAGGCTGCCTGTCTCAACGCCCTCTCTCCTTCTCTCTGGTTAGGTCTCACCCCAGAGAGAATGGGCCCAACTGACTACTTAGTGGCTAGAAAGAAAACAGCAGCCTTTCCCACTGCACCTGAGGAACCATGGCCTTGCTTATGTCCTGACATCCCTGGGGAGGAAATGTCCAGGCTGGTGAGCGAACCATGGTTGTCTACTTCTTTAGTTTCATCTTCAGCAATGACTTCCCAGCCTGACAGCAGGAACAGATGAGTCAAGGGAAAAAGAGAAACATGAAAGATGCAGTATGATAGAAGAACGCTAAAAACTGCAGGAGATCACTGCCCCTCCAACAAGTCTGCCCTTGCAGCTATGGATATCCAGGACAAACCATCCCAGCCCCCTTTTTTGATGACTTCTCCTCTGCCATTACTGAAGTTCCTGCCGAGTACAATAGTACAGTCTGCAAGGAAGGTCACCATGAAGAAACAACAAGCTCTGAACAAGGCAAAGATGAAGCTCCAGAACTTCAGTGCCTCTTGCGTGCTTATCTCCCAGTGTCTCACACCCACCCAAAGCTGAATTTCTCTCTCCTTTCCACAAACCGCAGGTCACACATAGTGTCCCGTCCCCAGCTTGAGCTTTTTTTTCTCCTAAAAGGATACGGACACTGACAGCTTCAGCATCTGTGCTCAGGAGACGCTTCACCTCTTTTTCCACATCAGGAGACTCAATATACTGGGTCAGAGAGGGGAAAGAGAACAGAAATACTGTTAAATGCCTTGTGCACAGTGCCGCTGCTGGTCAACTCCAACCCTCCACCTCTGGACAGAGCCCTGTTTCAAGCATCTCTTCTCTTAGGCCTTCTGCTCAGCCTTCGCTCATCCTCACTCTAGAAGTAATTTACACACCTCCAGAGAGCAATCCACCTTTTTTGTACAGAGCTCCTTGGTGGGTTGCATGCTTTCACTTTTCTACTTACACTACTTATGAGCTAAGACTTCCTGTGTGTATGCGGGAAGTCTTTGAGGTGCTGTTTCCCAATGGATGATCAACTCAACTCCTTCCCATCTCACTCAAAAGGTTACATTTTTCACTTTTAAATTAGCCAGGAATCTTATCTCTTATCTTGACATTAAGTATCTCCTGTGGGCTATAAGAATGTCTCAAGTAATTTGTTTCCCAAATGTCACGCAAAATAGCACTCCATCCTGTTCTCAGGAACTGCAAAGCAGAGAAGAACAAGTCTTCCCAGCCTCACAGTGCTGCATCTCCCCAGCACCTTGCCTGGCTTGTGCACACGTACAGAGACAGTCTCTGAGCTCCATCTGTTGTCACTCCCCCAGCTGAAATGACAGTTATTCTATTTGTAGTGTTGCTTGTTGGGGAAGTGAACAGGCCATGCATAGAGAGAATATTTCAGCTGGGAAAGAAGGAATGAGCGAAGCCTCATTTCCATGCGAGCCTTCCTTTCTTCTCTATGAGCAGGAAGAGACGCGCTGTGGCAAGGCAGCCACAGGAATAGAGTCCTGCAGTTCTCCGCACAGTGGATTTTCCCCTCAGGAGCACCTTGGAAAACATGGAGGACACACCCAAAGAAGTGTTTAAATTTACTACCCTCCCTTCACCCTCATCTCGGACAAGAAAACATGTGAAGCAGTATTAAGAAATTACATGTTTTCTGGACTAATAGACAGTTACAGCTCTAATGTCTCTGCCTTTCTATTCCTTGGATATTGCTTCTGCATCTGTGTGAGAAGCAACTCACCTTCTTCTTCGCTGTCTTCCGGAATCGTCTCTTCCGGACATTTTTCAGGGGAAGAGTGACTGTGACAGAAGAAACAGATTGCATATGTCAGGCAGACGGCCTGACAGGAGAGCTGCATGCCAAAAGGGAGAAGATCCCTTCAGGAACAGAGACAGTACTGAAAACGGAGCAGCAGCACAGCCAGGACACGGCAGTGGCGAGTGCCTTGCACAGCTGTGGGGACACTGGGGCAGTGGGATGGAGGGATTTGGCACAGCCTCTACTCACTGCCATGGTTCCAGATGAATTTCTTCTCTCTGTCCTTGTCCTTCTTCTTGTTTGCCTTGGGGTCAGTGCTCACAGTTTGCTCTTCCAAAGGCGGGTAGAGATCACCATCCACAGTGCAAACAAGCATCTGGAATCCCCGCATAAACACAAAGGGTGCTTATCATAACACAAGGACAAAAGGATGTGAGAGCTTTTCTGGAAAATGAACAGTGACTGCCCACTACATGTTGTGAGCCAAAGGGATTCACGGGCATGGCGTACAAGAAACACAATGTTTCACACTCAGCTTAGTTCATATCTAAACACAGCAGCAGTTAAGCTGTTACAAAGACAATCACATTTCATGCTTTAGAAATGGGATTTCTAAACAGCAAGAGGAGTGGGGAATTTTAAACTGCTCATTCTGTGGGAATACAGAAATTGACCATGTTTTACTGGGTGTCCAGCTGCCAAAGTATACAAGGGTTTTCCTGGAGAGGGGAGCAAGGAATTAAGCTGTTGGGGCAGGCAAGAAAGACAGCCCATACCTGGCAAATATCTGCTGTCTTATAGAAGGTTTTCTTGTCAATGGTTTTTAAGCTCTCAATGATGCAGGGCAGATCCACCAGCTTGGCCGCCAGCGGCACCCGGTCTACGCGGACAATCCCATGGCGTCCATCCGCTGCGGAAAGCCATAGGACAGGTTAGTGCTGTCGCTAAACAGCTAAACTGAGCAATACATTCCTGGGCAGCAGACATTTCACAGGAAAACACATGCAAGTTGCACAGCTTCACTCGTGGACAGTCAGAGGAGTTTTAAGATGCCCTGATCCTGTTCACTCACCATGTAGCTCAATGGTGAGCCTGTCCTTCAGGTTGACATTCCCGGACTGTACTGCTCGCCGCACCGTGGAGGCATATTCCTGGGAAGGTTGGACAGACTTACATCAGAACTATGTGTTTTTCCTCTGAGAATCACTGAAAGCTTCTGTCCAACCTCCATAGCTTTAAACAGCCCTGCCATCCAAATGCAGAAAAACAACTGCAACAGCCACAATGAAAATTGTGCCCTTCTCCCAATACCACGAGTTAACCCTGTGGCTCTGCTATTCCCAATGCCCTTCACACCCCCCAACACGATACAACTGTGACAGTGGTGTGAGGCCCCCAACAGAGATACCCTGGCAGACGGCCACAGCTCTGGGGGAAGCTACAGCTCCACTCACCAAGCTCTCATGGCCTCAGCAGGACGGAGTCAGCTTTAAACATCTAACAAATAGCATCAAGTGCACTAACAGCCATAGCAACTGAAGACCCAGCACTTGCTAAAGCTCTACCGTTACAGAAATTTCGTCCCTAAACCTCTAAATTCCAACCCTCCTGCTCTGTGTTGCAGGAGCACCTCTCAAGAGGAGGCCATGGAAAATCTGTTCAAATGAGCACGAACAGGCTACCCAAAGCCAAAAGCAACCAGCCCGCTCCCACATCCCTTGCCAGGTGGGCAGGGATTTCCCACTGACTTCACCCACCTCGCTAACCCCTCTCCCAGGCCCGGTGCTCGCCAAGCAAACCGGGCTGAG